GTGTGTGTGTGTGTGTGTGTGTGTGTGTGTGTGTGTGTGTGTGTGTGACTGTGACTGTGACTCAGAAAGACTTGAATTCTTGTGGTTTTCCAGAAGCACTCGACCACTTTCATAAGGAGGTACATAGCAGACAACTTTGATTCTAATTTGGTGTTTGTTCATATTTATAAAACCAGTACTTAAAGCAGAGCTGGACTGCCAAGCCGATATTATTTTATTGCAGATATATAGAGTTGGTTTTTCCTCTCAGTATGCACCAGTATTGGCCGATAATTAAAAGTAGAATTCTTCACCTATTCAACCAGATTAAACGTCTCATTAATGTGGATTTAATTGGGCTCAATCACGGTCTTCTCGTGTCTTCTATCTTTTGCCAAAAGAATATGTGAACCGGACTTCCTCTGAGTTTGTGTTTGTTTGTGTGACTGATGCAGTCCAAGCACAGACCGCTTGGCCCGTGCTTTTCTAATACTGGATCAGGACTGAAGACAGGTGCTGAATTACACAAGGCCTTACCTTTATCCCCCCTTTACTACACACTGTATATTGTAATGTAGACCAGTGGTTTCGCTGCGGGACCCACCATCACCCCTTAATGACACCCCCTCTCTGTTAACATCATTGTGGAACAGTGAATTAACGTGTTAATATTCTGAATATATTGGGCTCTCAGGTTGTGAGTGGGTACATTTGCTCCATATGAGACATATTTTAAGCCCCCCGTGGGATGAATTCACCTGTACGAGTCTGTCCAGTCATGGACAGACTCGTACTGTTCTGTTCTGGAGGATGTCCTGTGATTTGACTTTCACAACCAACATTATAATCGTCCTGCTCTGCTCTCTATATCCTCGTCTCTCCCCCGTGTGTCACGGTGTGTGTACATCTCAGTCGAGTCAGGAAACGTGTCAGAATACTCATATTTGATTGGCTGAGCTGCATCACGTGATGTGATTTACAACGCATTGGTCTGTGTTTCTCCTGCACCGCTGAACAGGTGCCGTAAATGCTGGATAAACTGCGCCGGTTAAAATAGAAGCACTTCGTCAAAATTTAATAATTCTCAATTATTTATCGGTTTTAGGTCCTGGGTCCGGAAACAACCGCAGTCCGCCAGTTAGTGACCCCTGTTCTATACTGTGAAATGGCCGGTGTCTATTGGCGTTACAAGGCATTAACGCTAAATACTGTTAAGGAGTGTGAATTAAAAAAAAAAAATCCCCTTCAAAATAAAAGCTTTATATTTTGAAGGGGATTTTTTTTTTCTTTCAGGCAAAGGCCCGCGACCTACTGAAAACGGGTGGGTCGCGAGTCACTGCTGTAGACGTACACGCCACAGACCACGCTGATGGAAATCTTTCTACATATAGCCAAGCACAACACGTGCACCCTTTCCTCAAGCCAGCACTCTGACACAAGATGACTTGCACATGTACTATACACTCATGAACACTAACGGGGGGGGGGGGAGTCCAGCCTTTGGGGAAATGGCTTTATGATCCCGTGTCATCAGGTTACTGCTAACAGATTCCACAGAGAGTCATTTCCCTGAGCCTCTCCCAGAGGCCGGAGTCTGTGTTCGGATACTTTGACCGTGCTGAGCATGACATGTAATAAATTATATGAAGTGTTCAATTTCAAAACACAAATCCCCTGACGGCGTAACTCGACCCTGCTGCCTGTATAACCTTAGCCAGCAGTTATTCATTTGGGAAAAGGTTGGGAATTGGCCTAGTTAAGGTTGCTCAACATTTCTTTTATTGATTTGCATGTGAAGTTTGATGTAGTTTTCCTACATTTCCTCCTCCAACTCTTCCTCCTGTTGCCGTGTACGGAGAAGTCCAGCTCACTTTGTTTTGTGTCAGCTGATGGGTTAAAGGAAATTGGGTCACAGAGAGCCGCTGCCTGGAAGCACCTCCAACTTTCCATACTCGTCTCTCCACTCCCTCCTTCTTCCCTTCCCCTCCCTTCCCTTCCCTGCCCCTGTGCTTCTGTAGCTCTGTTATTTTGCTCCCTGCACACAGGTTTTTATTTCTTAGACCTGTTCCATATTAATCCGCCATAAGGACAGCATTAACATTAATGGTAGTCTTCTATTGCGTTTAATTGGTGTGATGTGCTTTGTTTTTGAGCAGTAGACACCATTTTCCTTAATGGGTTGTACATTTTCTAGGACCCACTGGTTGCTATTAGTTTAATTAAAATAACTTAAGGCCACCCTGTGTTGAACTGTCTGTGATTACTTATCCGTTTCTGCAAAATGACAGTAACTAAACGTACAATACTTCCCCCTGAAATGTTATGAAGTATGCAGTTCTATAAAATGGAAATACTTAAGACAAGTACAAGTACTTCAAAAATAGTTTACCACAGTCTAATGCAAAACCATCAACTAAGGTGTCAAACATTAACATGGAGTTAAATCACCTCTGACACAGTGTCAACAAAAGCAACGCTTTACAAAGACTGGATTTATTTTGGTGCCGGTTATCGCACTCTAAAAAAAAACTAGTGACAAGTTGGCAGCTCACGCTGCCATGGAGCCACTCACCTAATTTTACAACCTTAATGATTTAAGAGTTTGACCATCTTCTGCTTTCTCTTTCAGACATTGAAGCGGAAAGAAAAGGAGTACGAGCACGACATGGAGCGACTTGCCAGAGAGAAGATAGCCACGCAGCAGCGATTAGCAGAGCTGAAGAACGAGCTGAGCCAGTGGATGGATGTGATTGAAATCGACCGTGTCCTCCGACAGACGGTACAGCCGGAGGAGGACCAGGCTTCCACCTCAACCGCCTCAGGTAGACTCACAGTCAGGGTCGGATCACTGGGGGCCTAAAGGCATGCCCCTGTGTTAATATTAGGAATATATTTTAAGTGATGTTAATCCTATGTGCATTTGTAACTGTTTTTTTTTTTTTTTTTTTTTTTTTTTTTTAAATGTAGGTGTTGGTTAAATGAAATGAACTGCAGAAATCACATTGCATCTGATAATACTGATCTAATTATTTCATCTGTTGCTGTGGCAGAAGGTGAAGACATAATGGAGGATGACCTGGAAGATGAGACTACGCCGAGAGCGCAGACTGCCTTACCCACCGTGCCTCAAACCATGAAACCTGAGCTGCGTAAGACTGCAATACCTACTCAGGCCCCGACCCTGACACCCGCCACTACCTCCTTCATCACCCAACACATCTCCATCCAGCACAAAGTCCCTCTGCACCAGCCTCAGCTGCACCCGCTGACGGTGACTCCTCATCAGCCGGTGTCCAAGCCTGCAGCCCCACTGGCACTCGCAACATCCAGCACTCGCATCGGCCCCGGTCAGCCCTTGATCCCCACCCACACACATATGGTGACCGCCTCCAGCTTACACCCCACAGTCATTGCCCACGCTTCAGTGTCTCACCCCTCAGTCATCCAAGCGGTCAACCACGTCATCCAGGGAGGGGGTCATAAACACATCGCCCACCTGGCTCCATCCACTACCACCAGCAGTGTCCAGTTGGCCCCCGGCCACCAACCCATCGGCCACATCACCGTGCACCCGGTGACTCACCTGAGCCAGCATCTACCGGCCCTCTACCCCCAACCGGTGGCCGTCACACAGTCGGCCATGGTCGGTCACATCACCCACACGCTGAACCACGCCCACCCGCACATGAACGGCACTGCGACTAGCCAACCAGCTGCCACCATTGTCGGCAAGCAGACAGCAGTGAGCACCCAAATGGTGACCCACCACCCACAGCTGGTGGGTCAGACGGTGCTCAACCCCGTGACAATGGTGACCATGCCCTCCTTCCCCATCAGCACTCTGAAGCTGGCTTGAACACGGCCAACAGGACCACCAAGGCTGGGAGACGGAGACGCCCCTCGATAGGGGAGAACCACAGGCCTCAGACCAGGCCACCGACGCGCCCAAAGTGAGGGCAGGAGAGCTGCTGGACACCTCTGATCCAGAGTTTCACTATCATCAAGAAGCATCGCAGCTGATATAAAGCCAGGAACATTCCTTCAACGAAACCTCTTTCCATACTAGTCCACCACGGTGTCCTGAAATCTTGAATTTAGGACATGGCTGAAAATCATCGTGTGTGTGTGTGTGTGTGTGTGTGTGTGGCAATATATGGGCAGATGATTAGACCCTCACTTGCAGATAATGGAGCAGCATTTATTTTCACATGAGCTTTTGCAGAAACTGCTTCATAGAGGGAAATGTTGCTACGCAAGTACCGTATCCATGTGGGCACCCTGTTACAGCGTTCATAAAGGTACTGGCTCCCCGTTATCACTGTGACTGCTGCGGATTAAACCAACAGCAGATCATGTAGTCGAGAGGCGACACTGGGCTGTGAAGCCTGTGACGTGTAGGATCAGAGTGCTAGACCCACCATAACCAGCACGTTGGGAATGTGATTTAGAGGAGCTCCTCCTCTCCAGCAGAAGGCTGCAGGGCTGGAGCCAAATCACGGACTGGACTGCATCCTGAGCAGACGCTGCAGTCCTCAGTGACTGCGCATACAGCAATAGCGCGCCCTGCTGGCTGCATGTGTTCAGTTTAATACTACTATCCCTGTGACAATGGAAAGAAAAAACACTTCCAGTTAAGTATAATGCCGATGGATATCTTTAAAAAACAGAATATGCCGTTTTGTCAGGGTTTGGTTTTTAGTGTTGGACACTCAAATTGTTACTTATCTGTAGTATTTGTCCTTCAAACTTACTGGCGGCTGTTCACAAGTTAAAGGATGAACTTATGTTTTTGTCACAGCTGCTAATTTCTTTTTAAATATTTCTGCCAAATAATCCGTTTTTAGATGCCCCCTAAATGTAAACACAACACAGTAGTGTGTTTAAATACTAAACGTGTGAGATACCGTCTCTGATGCTTACAAGGTAGGTGTGGGGGGGGGGGGGGGGGGGGGGGGGGGTGGTGGTGGAGTTGAGTGTTCAGAAGTTTTGAATGTGAATACGTAAAAAAAACAAAAAACAGGTCCATACAATGTAGTTACGTGTGTTTCTTTGCTGTCTTGCAAGGCAAATGGTCGTAGGATGTGTGTTTGCATGCTGTGAAAGCATGCCATGACTGTTGATTAGTGATGATCTTGAAAGCAAAGGAGCCATATAGCGGTGCCGTCTGTCGTGCTTTGCGGACTTCGACAAGTTGTAGTAGGAATGTTGGATTGTTTTGCTCAGAGTTGAAGCTCTGTTCATTCATAACGCGTTTGGATCGGCATAGAGTGATCTCAACAGCTGGCATAAATCCAATCAGTGTGTGTTTTTTTTTTTTTGTTTTTTTTCAAGATTATCCTTTTCCAAAGCTAGCACTGTGAACATTTATATAGTCTCAATGAGCAGCGGTTTAGCGTATCACTTGCTAGAACAGCAACATGCGGAGTTCCCCTTGTTTAACCTGAATGTACTGATCTATGAAAGGATGTGGAGTAGTGCGCTCAGCAGAAGTTAAGCCCTCCCCTTTTTTTAAAAAGAAAAATGCGATTACTTTAAAGTATCTTGTGTATGTAAAGTGTAACATTTAATACTGATTTTGTATTTTTAAGAGTTACTGTTGCTTGTTTCATCTGGAGAATAGCTTTTTATGTTCAGACTAATTGATATTGGTATTTGACAATATAGTTTTTTTTCAACTGGGACCATGTACAGTGGTGTATATCAGGGGGCGGCGACTACACAGACCTCGTCCCACCTTTATTAGCTGTGGAAAGTATTCTCCCCGTAATTGTTTTTTTATTTTGTTCTGATGCAATATGATTGAAGCAGGGACTCTTCATTTTATTTTTGACTAAATAATTGCAGAGATAAAGTAATGCTTTTTTTCACCCTCATTTTATGCAAATGATATCGAACAAATCATATTGTAGCAAAACAAAATGTGTACAAATGAACAGGGATTCGATACTTGAAGAAGCAACGATATACTTGTGTGTTTTCCCTATGGAGAAAGTTTAAGTTGTATATAGCCTGTAAATGTTGGGCTGCATTTAGATCTAACTATCATGTAAACAGCTGGGAAAAATATGTAAAATTAGAAATTTATAAAAAAATATACTTAATAAATTGTATCATGTTTACAAATGTCTGGAGCCGCCTTTTTGTTGTTTTTAACAAAACGTGTTTTTTTTTGGTATTGCAGCAATACAAAGTGATTATTTTTACCGTTATTTATGGCTGCAGTTAACCATTAGGTTAATTATCAGTTAATCAGGCGATCATTTTCTTGATTCATCGTTTGAGAAACTAAAAGGACATTTTTCACTTTTTAATATTTTTTTTTAAAGGGAGTTTAAGATGACCTCTTCAAATGTCTTGTTTTTGTCCAACCAACACCCAAAGATATTACGTTTACAGTTATAGTATATCATTAAAATATAATGTAAAATGACAAAATATAGTATATCAAAGGCATAGTATTGTATGTTGTAAAAAATGTCATTAACAGTATCATATTATAGTCTGTCATAAAAAGTCATAGTATCTTTTCTATGACGTATTAAACTGCCTTTTTTAACTATTATACTTTTTTTTATGACATACTTTTTGATGACAATTTTACGGCAAAAAGTCATAGTATAGTATGTTGGGGAAAAAAAGCGAAAAAAAAGTTAAAGTATAGCACATCAAAACAAAAAGTGATGATATATCATGTCGAAATAAAACAACATAGTATGTTGAAACAGTTTAGAAAAAGGAGGGAGGGCAGCAGATGCAGCTGTAAACCAGTTTTAGGGCCTTTACACACTGGGGCGGATTAATTCAGCTCTAATATATATATTTTCAAACCATTGTTTTTGTTAGTACATTCACTCAGACCGCTAATTTTACACGAGGGACTTTTTTTCTGATCTTTGACTCGGCAAATAAAAGGCATCAACCAATCCCGATGAAGACCACACAAATTACACTGAAGTGGAGTACAACCATGAATGAGGCTCCGCCGTCTGAACCAAGACAACAACAACGCATCAAATTCACTCAAAGTATTTTGCTGAAAGGAAGTTCATTATAGTTTACAGTAGCTTTGGTTATATACAGATTTGTTTCTGAAGATCTAGAAAAATGTATTCAAACAGTTAATGAGCCACAGGTGCTAGTTAATTAGCAATTAACTACAACCGTCAGTGAGCGTCACTCTAGGGGGCGGGGCCACACCTCCAGTTGTCCTAACGGTCGCTTATAACAGTGTGTAATGGTGGAAAATGTCATGTAGGATTAGTTGATTAAAATGTGTTACAGGTTAAACTCGTTTATTAAAATCAACTCATAGCATTAATTTCTGCTTACATTATCACAACATAAAAGCTAAACCCAATGCCCGGTGGAGACTTTGAATTACATTCATCTTTTATTACGATATTAGAATTTGTACATATCGTCTTCTTCATTTATAAATTTATTACATAAATATACTCCAAAAAGTAGGATAACAAAAGACAAATTTAATATAAAAAAAATTATAATCAGAAACAAAAGTATTACCTGACTCCGGGACAGAAGGTGGAGGAATGTCTTTTTTTTTTTTTTTAACATAAAGGTCACACAACAATGCATTGGTTTATATTCGGAACATAGAAACGATTAGCAAAATAATCAAGTTCAACCCATAATGTTTTTCATTACTCTTAGCTTGTCAATACAAAACTAGATTTGCACTTTGAAAAGGAAAATCAATTAAGTTCATCATTGTTGGCTTTGGTTACGTGAAGGTAAACGTTAAGCTAAGCACACATCCAATATTTGACATCCCTTGGACATAATTATAACCAAACTAAATAAAATAAAAAATGTCCTCCACCTCCTCTCAATATATTCTCCCCAACAATCAAGTAGCTACATATTTCCATTGCCCATAAATAACCTTATGATCACTAAATTGATCTGCAATCTGATAAACCTTCACACAACACATGCAAACAAAATAAATACACTGCATGGCCTTTGATGCAACCGTCGCCTTACACACTCGTCTCATGCAAATCAGAGGGTCTTGTCGTATCAAAGTCCTAATCCTCTCTACCGACTAACAGGTGTCATCAGCTCTGAACAACTCTGTTTTGGGGGAATTCTGCGATTAATAATAGACTTCTTTTGTCTTGTAAAAAAGGTGGATCATTTTAAATGCTGACATGGCAATCAGAACAGTAAGCGTTGCATTGAGTTAAGACCGGCTAACGTTGAGTGAAGCCACTAACATCCATGCTGTCAGGCAGCAGAGGTGGCGACTGTGATAAACATGCAGACACTGATGAAGCAAAGTTTAACTTAATCTAAACTCAGATTAAGATTAAACCAAATCAACCAGCAAGAACCTCAGGTGAAGGGAAATACATATAAAACAATCATCCAGACATAATGTCTAGCTGTGTAGTTTAAATAAAACACATAAAAGATGAAAAGCAGTACAACAAATATGTATGAGTGTAGTATAGAAAATTAAATTATTACAGTATGCAAAAAAAGAGTAGGTCACCACATGTAAACCTCATGTCAGATGTAAAAATAGAATAACCCTGTGATCATGTGGCTAAATACAATGTTCCACCCCCTCTCGCCATTAAAGTCTATTCAAACAAACTATTTAAAAGTTCTGACAAAACAGAAAACAGTGGAGTGGAGGGTCGAGTGTTTTGGCAGCAATGGTGCCGTAATGTCAGAGAGGATAGAGGGAAGCTGCACAACATCTTACCACCTCCTTGCAGGTCCTTGATCCAAGTGTTACGTGCTGTTGGGGAGGTTGAGCGGTGGCTGGGTGGACACATAAGGGACGTCAATGTTCTAGAAATGAATGAAGGTTTCCTGGGTCATTTTCTTTTTTTTTTTTAAATCCCAGTAACAGAGAGACATGGACGCGGGGCTGTCCTGTGTTAATAGCCGTCTTTCTGAGTGTGCATTTGATCCTGGATCCTCTCCAGCATCTCCTGCATCCGCCGCAACTGTGAGGAGAGATGAGACGAATGTTAGCGCCGCAGTTTGATTCGACACATCCACAAGTTTACACATCTACTGTTGCAATAATGGCAGTGTGCAATCTAAGGGGCGTCAACCTTCTATACAGGCTAATTATTTACACACGTGTGCACGGACAATTCAATAACACTCGGGAGAATAGACGGCTCTTTCTACATCACGGGACCTGTGCTGAACGGCTGCCTCCTCCACCTGCCACCTCATCTACACGACAGTGTATTACAAAGGCAGTAAAATGTACTCCTATCTGGTTAATCAGTTTATCACATGGAGTCATTTGGTTTTAGGGGGGGTCAAAAGACTCAAATTCAAATATTTGTTGTCTCCGATTTATCTCAACATTTGTTGGAATCCAGCCAAACTGAAGGAGACCCAACACAGACAGTCTTGTGCCGTGATTGTGCTTGCTGTAGTACAGTACGTGTCGAATATGGACAAAATATTTCCGTTTGTCCAGTTTCCCAACACATAGTGAGAAAGTACAGCGTCACCGTTATTACCGTGATTATTCTAAATTATTTTGAATAATGTCTTGTTGTCTGAACTACCCAAAAATATTCATGTTATTATAATCCAAGGTGAGAAAAAGTAACAAATTCTCCCATTTGAGAGGCTGGAAACATGAAATGTTTTGCAATGATTGAAACAATTCTTTTTTTTTTTTTTTTTTTTTTTTAAATCGCTTCCTATTAATGGATTGTTGCAGCTCTGTTGTCATGTTTAACCAGATTTTAATGCTGGTTACACACAAAAAAAAACAACTTGAAAGAAATGACGTCTTTATTTGACAAAATAAATAGATTTAGTGGGGAAGTGGGGATAACGATTGTGATCATTCACCATGAACAGATGCATCATCGGCTTTCTTTGGTTACTATGAAAACTCACACCCTGTACAACTATTTATTTAGCCTTTAAATATAATTGCTTGGGGTAAAAATGATTGTTGACTTCTAACAATACTAGTTCCTTGTATGCACCGCAGCTGCCACGGACCAAGTTCTTACCAGTGCAGGGTTAAACCCTCAGTGGGATTATGAGACATTGTTCTTTTCCTACCCACAGTTCAAAGGGCCAAAGGCTGCACACTTGCAAGGACAGGGGAGTCGGGGTTCGAATGTACAGTTACACCAATTCATGTTTTTTAAGGCTACTCATTGTCAGCCTCAGAAAACATGATCCTTCAAAGAAAGATTATGGATTTAAAAATACATGAGCGCACTACAGACACTCAGAGGGCTTCATCAGAGAGATCTCTCTGATCTGGGTGTGTCTCTGCGTCGGACTGAGGCTGTGAGGGCTCATGGTGGGCAGAACTGTGTTCAGACTCGTGCTCGTGATCATTTTGGTGGTGCGAGTCCGGTTGTTGTTCGGCGTGCCGTACCTCCTCGTCTTTCTCTCGGATGAGCTTTTCTGTCTCGTCAGCCACTCCGGGCACCACGGGGATGGGGAAGTCTGTGCCGCTCTCCCTGGTCAGTTTACTGCAGAGAGACGCACGTTGTAGAGAAATTAAACATTTATTGTACCACAAAGAGAGAGGCTGAAAGGCTAGATGGCATTGGTATTTAAGTGCACTACACGAGGCTACTAAGGATCACTGGAACATGGAAAATGCTTGATACACATACTGTGTCTGTAGAGTAATATCATGGTGCCCAGAAACGATGTACACAGACACCAGGTCAAGACCAGAGCTGTGTCTGATCATCAGTGTTAGAAGTCTTCTCAGCACAATCACAAAACTGTCATCTGCACAGCACGACACGTAAAGTTCTTTAAATCTAAATCTAACTAATGCTATTGACAGACCTTGTTAAAATACCAAATAAAAGAATCAGGATATAGACTTATTTACATGTGTCCGTGAGGATGAAAAAGGGGAAAAATCCATAATTTTAAACGATTTGCTCTTCAAAAACATTGGTCTTTAAATGTCTACTTATCTCTTGATATTAAAGTGTCTAGTATTTCTTCTACACTTCATTACAGTATGTAAAGGACCCCCCTTTGCTTCAGTTTAAGCGTACTTGCGGTTGCGCTCCTTCACGACCATGCGGGTCATGTTCTGGATGCAATGGGCTCTGTAGTTCTCATAGTGAGTCTCCCGGGTCACGTCCTTCAGATCTTGCATATGTGTGCGAACGAGCATGTTCCTCAGCTTCACGAAGTCACAGTGCGCCGGGTTCTCCACTGCAAAGAGAGCGAGGGTTCAATTTAAACTATATATTAAGCATTCTTCATAAACTGCCGGTACTGAATCATGCAGACAACGCTGACTAAACATGTACAAAAGACTTTAACTTGTGATGGAGGATGAGGGCGGGGCCTACCTTCTACGATGCCCCAGGGATAGAGACGGCCTCGCACCCTCTTCCCTTTGGCCTCCACCACTGTGTTGCTGCCGATCACTGCAAAGGGAATGCTTTCCTTGTTGGGGGAACAGAAAAGCATCGTAAAAATTAAAATGACGCTTCAAAGGAATCTGGCAGGGGAGGGCGTAGATGAGTTCAGGTTGGACCAGTGAGTGGTGCAGTGCAGATGTGTTTATTGTTGTTACGTTTTTTTACCTCTCCACATTTCCCTCCTCACTGCCACCTTTTCTTTCTTTCTCATTGCTGCGTACTCTCAAATTACTCCTAAAAATCCAGACTCCACTCCATATTTTTTGTCATAAATAACTTCATATTCATAATCTCTATTCTTCCATCTTTTATTCCCGTTAACACGGCGCTCTTATCAAGGACGGAGGCAAAGAGAGAGAGCAACACTGGCACAGTGAGTGTGTCCTTGCTGCCAGCGTATGATGCCAGGAGAGCTAAAAACAGTCGACTCATCAAGACCGTGAAGTCAGTAGTGGACCGACTTCCAAGGTCATGTGTTACATGGTTTATATGTTGTGCATAATATGTTTTTGGGCATAATCAGAAATCAGAAAAAGAAAATGTGTAATGATGTACTTGATATTAGTCTATTCTGATTCACCTGAAGACTTCTGGCATCTCTGGCTCGTACCTTTAGCTGATGGTCCTGCTGCTTAAAGTCCTCATCCTCATCGGAGTCACAGTCAGGGAACTGGTATATCTTGATACCGTACTGCTCGATCTCCTCTCGGATCTACGGGGAAACAGACGGCAGACAAAGTACAGAGTGAAAACACGCAGTTTGACTGTAAAAGCAGCGACGGTTTCATTTCAGGGATGAAGAGTTTGTGAGTGGTGACCGGGAGGCAGCCTTGCCTTGAATTTCTTTTTCTTGACCTCAGCAGGGGTGAGAGTGTCTGCTTTGGCCAAAATGGGGACGATGTTAACCTTCTCATGAAGAGCTTTCATAAATTCCACATCCAAAGGCCGGAGGCTGAAGGAGATATGAAACATACATAAAGTACTGTGAGACACGACACCCTCAAAGTGAACCGACACTACGTCCATCAGTGAGATATCTTGAAAACAGATTTCCATAAATGTCCACAAATGACAAATAATGCATCTTCGTGATGATCAAGCTGTTCTTCTGCCAATAAAAACGTTAGTTTTGAGCCTAACTGTAAGTATATGCTGGCAGCCCAAAGACATTGACTTGCAGACATAAGATGATGTCTCTTGTTGGTCAGCGGTGGCAGAGGTTTCCTCTCAGTGACCTCTTGGTCTCTAATGAGTAATGACTGACGCTCATCAACAGAGGGGGCAGTTTCTCCATCACTGCACTGTAAGGTCGACAGCAAATTGGTTCTATAATGAGCACAGTGATGTGGAACAGTGCATGTGCACAACTGCGTCAAAAAGCACCACATCAGCACAAACAAATGATTAGAGTGAAAGTTCTGCATTGGATGTAGATTCACCTGAGAGCTGTTTTAACTCTAGGCAGGAGGCCACCGCATTAACAACTCATGGGACTGACTGCGCTGCAAGTAAATACTGGTACACTGGAGATTTACGATAAAACTGAATACTTATGTGTTTGTGCAAAGTTGTATCTTAGCATGAATGCAATTTAGGGAACGTCAAAGGCAGTCACTGGTCTGATGTAAAATGCCAGCAGCACAGACGTCACCACTGCAGCAGAAAGAGGTGAACGTTCCTCGTTATTAGGGGCGATAAAAGAGAGCGAAGAGGCTAACTAATCCCTAGGAGAGCACGGGGGTTTGTCATACCCGTGACCAAAGGGTGAGATGAAATAGAGGCAGCAGTGCACGCGGTTGTCCTGGATGTTCTTGCGGTTGAGGCCACTCTCGTCCCTGAAGTACTGCTCAAACTGCTGGTCGATGTAGTCGGCCACTGACTTCCAGCTAGAGCAGAAACACACGAAGACGGTCAGTCTCGGAGGCAATGGTCGTTTTCTTTCCTTTCAGGTATTTCATTGAAAGATGTTTGACATGTACCATTCTGTGTTGTTTACAGCATCCCCAAACCCAGGCGTGTCCACGATGGTGAGCTTCAGTTTGACACCTTTCTCTTCTATATCCACCGTGTGTTTGGTGATTTCTACTGTTTGTGTGATGCGCTCTAGGGAAAGGACACAAACAGACCACTGTCGGGAAAATATTCAATAAAACAACAACAAAAAAAAGTACATCAAAAGCTGTGTCTCTCTCACCTTCAGCATTGAGCAGCTTCCTATCTTTATAGAGATCTGTGAGAAAGAGACTGTTGACCAAGGTGGACTTTCCCAGGCCAGACTCCCCTTCAAACAAAGAACAACAAAGAAGTAAAGAGCAAGGTCGGAGTCTTTTCAGTCTCTTCAAAGCAGAAGGTGGGCTTAAGATCAAATGTCTGCTAATGTGCAGACGAGGACTTACCTGCCACCATGAGCGTGAAGTCAAATCCCTTCTTCACCGACTTGCGGTGAACCTGGTTTGGCAGCGTTGCAAAACCCACGTACTCCTTGTCCTGGTCCTGAAAAACACACAGAAATAAGAAATAATACATCAGGGAAGCACACACTACCCTGAATATATGACTAGAACGACACAGCTCTGTTATCAACCACTCCAAAAGTTTAACACTCCCACAAAAGTTTGAAATAAACACCAAATGAAAAAGCATCACTGCCATCTCACAGCACTAATCACAACCTATTCCACCAGAGGAATATGAGCACAAATCTACCTGCTTTAAATAGCACATAAAGCAACATATTACAGCTCAGTCACATCCTCTCAACCTTCTCCATCAGCACATAAACAACATCGCCTCCACAGCAGAACTGAACCACACAGATCTTGTTCATCCTGTCTGGGGTTCCTTGACCCAGCGTTACCTCGTTATTGTTGTACGGGTCATATCGGCCCCAGGGGCTCTTGGGCCTGGGGACTGACGACAAGTCAAACTCCACACTTTTGCTCTGCGGCACGCTGGGCTCTGAACAGGAACCCGACTCCGCCCGGCCCGCCACAGGGGGGCGCAGATGTGGCGGAGTCTGAGGGCGGTCTTCGCCCTCAGCTTCCCCGTCTGCGTCATCGGGCTCATGGCCGTGATGGTGGTGGTGGTGGTGTGTGTGGTCACGGTGGCCGTGCCCTCCTTGGTGGTGAGGGTCTTGCATAATGTTCTCCACCTCTGAGTCGTCTGAATGGCTTGAATGCTAGAGAGACACCACGGTGGAAGGGGGCGGATGAGGCGGAGGTAGAGGAACGGGTGGAAACAAAAAAACACAGGGCGGAGTGGAAAGTTCAGGTTTCATTGTGGAAGGGGAAGGGAATCGAGATCCAGAGGGTGGAAAATGAACACTTTTAGAAACGGTCGCAATATGTTATGGTGACGTAAAATAATGCGACATGAAAGGAACAGCTGGTTATCACCGTCCATCATCATTAATGAGGATGGATCATCTCAGGCGAGCAACAACACCAGACGTCTATCTCGGTGTATTTGCGTGTTATTTCATTACTATAACACTAATATTGAATGAGCTGTGATACGTGGACATGCATATAATGGAAGCAGAGAGTGAGTTTTTCCTCCATCATGGATTATAAATCTGCTGAGCACTTCATAAATTTTGCAGCGCTAATGTGAGGCCAGAAGGTTTTCTTTATGGTTGTTATTAGAGGACAGGCATTAGGGTACATAAGTTCAGCCTTATACACACTAAGCTATCAGAAATAAAGCTAAAATTAAAAATGAAATGTAAGAGGATACATAGCTGAAGTGTAGGATGCTGTGCATATTCTGCACTACAGTTACCACAAACTAAAGTCTCCCTGCTAGTCGAGCACAAAGTAAATTATGCAGTGGTCCTCAGAAAGCAATGAGGCAATTTAAATTCAGCAGTAAGCCCGAACTGTGACTCATGTTATGTTTACGCCCTATGTACGAGCTGAGGGGTAAAAGTACGGGGCAGAACTTAAACTTATAAGATACTAGTCTGTATGAAAAATATCTATATATTGCTTTTGGCGAGGCTCACCGGGTTAAGTTGACTAAATCACATAAAGTCTGCCACTAGAGGGGGGATTTAATGAGGAGTTCAGGTTTTCTTGGAGGGGGGGTGGGGGTGTCACTGGTACCTGTTCAGCATCACGGTCCCTGCTGTGATTGGGGGAGGCAGGGCAGGAGTCATGCTCGTCTGATGAAGAGTGAGCCTCATGGTCACTGTCCTCCATTGCAACTGGGGCTACAGTGCACTCTGCAATCTCCAACCAGAAGGGCGCACACACGCGGAGAGGTTTACCGGGACAAAGGGGGACAGGGAGGGTCGCCATGAGGGAACAAGGTGCGTGAGGTTCAAGAGCCGGGAGCAACGGGACAAAAGGAGGGACCGATCGGGAAAGACGATAAAACAAGACGGAAGAGGAAAAGAAAATAAATTAAATAAAGCAAAAAAGTTACGACATATAAAAACAACAACATGCCATTTACCAGAGGAAATGGTGTGATTGCAGTGCAGATAAGAGGAACCAGAGAGAGATGATTGAGCGATGCTTAATGGCATTTTGACACCAGACCATTCAGTGTTTCAGGCACCAACAATACACCAGCCCAGCCCCATGTCAGAGCCAACAGATCATCTGTGCCAGCTGCATAATGCAGCGAGTCTTTGAAAGTTTGATGAAGAGCAAAGTAAAAGATGCCGAGTCACACTTCTGCCAAAGGGTGTCAGGTATTTAGAGCCACTCTGGAGTCAATGATCACCATTTGTTTTATTCGCTTACAAGGTAATATCCTCACTAGGAAGTATTTTAAGCCTGAAGCTAAATTTCGACAGATTGTTAAGTTTGATATCCCTCCATCACTGTAAACCTCACATGTAATCTTTCACCCGTACACGGTCCGTGTCCTCCGTCCGCGGCCTACAGTTTTAATTAAGCTTTAGAGCTTTAGGGCAGAGGAGAAATTGATAGTTTCACAGTTTGAAAAGCAGTGACCTGCTTTCCTGTGCTACAATCAAAGCACAGAGATCAATGTCCAACATGGCGGATCCTGTGACCCACATAAAAGAGATGGTCGATCGCAAAGCTCCGACAACTTTGGAGCAGAACCGCCGACAACAATATAATTAAATTTCCATCTGTTTGATTTTGGTGGGACAACCAAGATCATCAGATGTAATCTCTTGAGAAAATCACAACTGCCGTGCATACAGAAACAACATCAAACCACAAAAGTCTTCATCTTTAGTAAAAGGGGATCCCAAAAGTTGCATCACAAACTCACAGAACCCCCCCCCCCCCCTACACAGAGCCTCACCTGTGGTACCTTTAATCAGCACGTAAAGCCTCTTCTTCTTCTTGCCTCCGTGTTCACTGCTCGTCATGCCCGCTCCAGCAGGAAGCAGAGACCCGAGGCTCCAGCATTTATACGCCTCCATCCCAGAGGACACAGGGACCTTCAGCCCCATCGAGCTACTCAGCGCCCCCCCACCCCCAGAGAACTGGTCAGCAGAACTGACGAGCCGCGCATCACCGTTCACGCCAAGAACACGCTGTGATGCTGAATCTAGCAGTATAGAGCTCTTTATGAAACACAACACAACATACGAGGACAATTAATGCTATTCTCCAACACACGTGCACATTGATGGTTCAGTAAAGAGTCATGACAAACCTCTACAGTGAATACAACCTGTGTATCCAACCAAGAGCCACTTGAGCTGCTTAGCATCCCCATCATGATCAAAAGATGATATACTAAACACAACCTGCTGTGCTAATGAATGCACTAATTAAGCTTATAAATAAATTAATTAGAAACTATTTAAATACCAACGTACTTTGCCTTCATGTTCCACATTAAGCATTGAGGAGATTTCCTCATTCATATGCAAATCTAAGCAGCAAGTTGCTCCAAAAAATGTAATCCGACCGTCTCCTCCGTGGGGTGTTTGTCTTCACAAGACACACACACACACACACACGATGACGTGGTGTCTGGGATAAAACCACACACACACTTATTATTCATGTTTAGCAGCAGATGAAACACTTTGAACATTTTCTCTATTTCTTATGCCGCATTATAAACTTCAAAACCTTTACATTTACACGTACGTTATCTTCTTGAGGAGTGTGTGTGTGTGTGTGTGTGTGTGTGTGTGTGTGTGTGTGTGTGTGTGTGTCTTTCCCTCAGTGGACCCTATACCTTCTGAGCTGGGTCAGAGGTTTCTGTCCTCTCAGCCACACATGCTATCTGGTTACACATTCTTTAAGTCGACGTGAGGCATTGCTGTGTGCAGGTGCTGGACTCACTTTCCACTGAGCACTCTGAAGTCAAAACTGGAACGCGATGCCACATTTTCCTCTCCAACCGAACCAGCCAGTTTATCGGCCCGTGATGTTATTAGTCTTGATAGTTAAGGTATAAATACACAGTTATAGCGGAAAGGGTTTAAGGCACTCGAGAAGGGAAGGAATTTCACTGTTGTAGGAATCTCTTTTTTAATACATGTCTGCCCAGGAGGCCAGAATCACAGGTTTTCTTTTGAGCTCTCGATTTGATATCCGGACAGGAGAGAAAAAAAAGGAGGTGTAAAGGATCTCAGGAGAAAGCAGATGATCACAGCTCAAGCACAAAAGTGTTTGGAAAGCACGATGTCCTCGATAACAATCAGAGCTGCTTGGTGTTCCTGGCATCAGTATTAGCAACCCCTCCTGGAGGAAAACGAAGATGGGAGAATTGTTACGCTTCAGTGATCTCAGAAGTTCAACCGAGAGGAGAGATTTGATTCGATTCTTACTGTGAGAACTTTTTCCACACGCAAACATTTCCACTAGTCCAGAGCTTCGTGAGGCCCGTTTCTCCCGTCACACAGAAGCAGTTTAACACTCGATCCTTTGCTGGAATTTAATCCCACTCAATCGCTCTTTTTTTGCGTCACTCGCTGAACAGTTTTCCACAGATCAACCGCAGGTGGAAGTCTGACTGTGCAGGGACCTGTGCTATAACTGTTCAACTCTCCAAAAAAAAAAGGAAGTCAATCAGACATGCCGAAGTTTATTATCATAATTTAAGTTATTAGTGTTTTGAACAACAACAACAACAACAACGGGACATATTGTTTCTTTTAAAATTAGTTTTTGCATGCTAACAAACCGACCACATAGTTCATTGCAATGACATAAAGCATGCTAAACATTAATAATACACATTGTGTGTGCAGTTTATATTATTATACTGTTAAAAACAACACATGGTTTTGTTTATCTTTATTTGTTTACCTGGTGAGCTTAAAGATCACACCGTCTGGATGGATATAGACGAGTGCAGCTAATTACTTCTCTGCATGATCCATTTATATTTTCCATGTTATGCTATTGGTTCATATATATTCCAATAAGATATTCACTGATGTTTCCTGTAAGTCTGCCTGCTCCCATTAACCCCAATAGCTTCTGTGTCTCTCTCTTTTGACATTTTAACCATTTTCCGTCCTAATTCTGACCTCACCTGATGAATCAGATCCATAATTTAGATAATAACATTTTTAAATATTAGTGATATTGCATAGGTCTGGATGAGTCTATATTATATCCTAACATTGTTAATATTTGTTTAAGCTTTAATTGTCAGATGAGTTTTAACAATAAAAACTATATATTCGCATTGTTCCCTCCCTGCTCAGATGGCATGCTTCTATCATGCATGAATTGTAGTTTCGTTTGTGTTTTAGGAAGTTTGCCCATAGTTAAGTGTCAAATACTCTAATATCATCCAAAGTCAAACATGTACTATCTGCCAACAATCTATATCTGTGTTGTGCACGGCCACACTACCAGATCACAGCCAATAGAAAACCAAAGTCAGGCTGTCGTGTGTGTAGCAGATAAATCAATATACTTAGGAAACACATGATTGACGGTCCATACAAACATCAATCCAGCTCTGGTGAGCCATAACAACACAGAAAACACACATCAGTCATTGTTCCTTTAAAATAAAACATGCTTTGTCAATTAAAAGTAAGAGAACCAACAAAACACTTAACTTTGAGTACGATTGCATCTTTGCAGTATTAATTAGACGATGTGTGAAAACAGTCTTCTGTATCTAGAATAAAACCTAATGGGCTCCGACATCAATTTCACACATTTTCCTTCGGTGGCCTCACAGAGTCTCCCACTGGAACGAGTCACAGCTGAGACCTGAACCAATTACAATTTCCATAACTAGTCAAACTGACATTTCCGTTCCTCTTGAGGGTTCGGTCCACCGTGACTAATCAGCAACCTTTATCAGCTGTCATGCAGAGTTTCGGATAAATAAGCCTGAGACCCGGTGAAACCACATGGAGCTGGTTCAGGTCCAGAGCGGCTTAATAAAGCTGAGGCCCTGGAGCGAGACACATGGACAAAACACAACTTCAGGACTACTTTGATACAAACACACCTTCATATACAGTGATACAACTCAAGCCTACGTGGCTTTAAATACTTCCTCACATTACTTCAAACATTTTCTAATAAATTAGACATAAAGATATGTGGACAGGAACGTTAAGTCTTAATGAAAGCATCCGTCTTTGTCAACAGCTGCTTCTTTGGCATTTCCTGCAACACATGAGTCGATGCCTCTGAACGGACGCTTATGCTGAACTTAATCTTGTGCTCGATCTAAGATTTGCGCTCTGCAGGAGATGCTGGAATGTCCCGTTTGTCGTGTGAATTGAGTAAAGTGGAGCTAAAGCAGCTATTTGACCACAGAGCAGTTTATTGCGTACACAGGGATCCGATACTTTTAATGAAATGTAATAAGCACTCTGAGGGGCAAATGGCAGGTTGCTGCACATCTACAGAAACAAATGCCCTCTCAGTGGAAGCTTATCAAGGAGACCATTGTAAGTAGGCTCTTGAGTATGTCAGAGACTTGTGGGATGTTCTATGAGGAGACTAGAGCCCATGCAGTCCCTGAGAAACAATTGAAGGACATGAAACCCGTTTCAACCTGAACACGTGTGGTTTGCTCCGCTGCTTTGTTAGTGTTGGATCGTGGTAGTGGTTTTGGCTGCCACGGTGCTGACAGATGATGATTTGTTGCATGAAACACAGCGGGGGGGGGGAGCCCACTTGGAATGCTCCCTGTACGACATGGGAAATGCAATCAGAAGTTACAAAGAAACTATACGCCGTGTTGTTATTGACCTTCTATGATGAAAGCAGATTTCAGCCTGGGAGGAAATGCAGTCGACAGAGTCATTTATAATCCAGCTGCAATGATTACAATGCCATTATTCAATGAATGCTTAAATCATTTTTGCCTTGGCAAGCTTCGCCCCTGCTGGCAGGAATGCTTCCTTAAACTGGAGGCTGCTCAAGTGTGGGAGATGGAGCACACAGTGCAGTAACCGATTTGTATGCTCTGATCTTAAGCTCCTGTTGCATCTGAGACAGCCTTTCGAGAAAAAAAGAATGAATATAAATGTGGATATTCAAAGGCATTCACCAGAAACAACGCTCTGTTTATCCCGATGTTAAAAAAGTGAATGTTGTGGAAAGCAAAGGCTGAATAGCAGTGAGGTTTCCCCTTGTGGCGAGGCCAGTAGCAGGTGGTGAAGTGAGCCATGTGCGCCCTGTGTGAATGCTGTGGTTGTTTGGATAGTTATAGCAGGACTCTGTGTGGAGCTGGCTCAGTGCAGAGGGAGAGAGGGGGAGAGACAGAGAGAGGGGGACAGAGACAGAGAGACAAAGAAAGAGAGAGAGAGAGAAAGAGACAGAGAGAGAGAGACAAAGAGAGCAAGAGAAAAAGAGAGACAGAGACTGAGAGAGAGAAAAAGAGAGCGAGAGAGATGGAGAGGGAGAGAGAGAGAGAGAGAGAAAGAGAGAGAGAGAGTGAGAGAGAGAGAGAAATAGTCCTCCTTCACCACACAATAGAGCTGATCAATTTCCACGTGACCTTAACTCCACATATTTAGTGAAACAGAAAACACAATTAAGAGTTTCTCTTGAGGTTCAAACTCACAGGACGAGAAAGAGATGCCTAAAGGAACACTAAAGGAACCTGCATCTCTGCCCCAAATGAATTCCTGTCAGAGTCTTCCACCATCAGAGACACTCAGACACTCTCAATGCATTAAGCCGTCACATCGGATCAATACACGTGAGCTTTAACATCTTAGAGGTGGACAGCAGGGAAAAAAGCTCAACACTGTGTTTCTGCAGTCATGTGGAAAACTAAAACCTCTCAGTAGCTCTGCAGAAAAATCATCATTATTTATATGTTCATAGAGTAAAAAGACATGTCACATGTCCAGCTCACGTGTGGATAATCTATACGCTGACACATGTGTATATGCAGCAGAGAGGAAACCTGCAGCCACAGACGACCATGTTGGACAGTTAGAAAGAAAGAAACACAGAGCGGTCCACAAACAGAGAGATATACTTAATTGCAGGGTCAGCTAGAAGAAAAGCAACAAGCACATACCTCTGTATCACCGTTTGTTTCTGTGTCCGCTGCCATGTCATCTGTTCAGTACCAGTATTGCTTTAGTTCCACCAGACAGCCAGAGAAGAGACAGAAACCAGTACAAAAAGAAGCCTTTGGAAAGCTGCAGACTGAGTGTCACTTCTTTAGTTTCAGGGCACCCCACGTTACATAAGCATACCTATTTTCTCTGCCTCACCAATCAGATGGCATTCAGTTCTCTTCCTACTCCGCCCGCCCCCCCCCCCCCCCCCACACACACACACACTTGGACTGGAAACCTCTTTCTTTTTCTTTTTTTTTTAAACAGGTACACCATCTATCTCTGCCACTCTGCATCTGGAGGATTTCAATAGCCCCGCCCTGCTCTCGTGTTTTGGCCAATCTGCTGCCGATATGCAGATGAGCCGAAGTGACGGCAGACCGTGTCTGCAGAGGCGTCCCGGCTTTAGGAAGGTGACGCAACATCTGCCCTGTCACCTTGCTGCAAGCCTGTCGTGCCCTAAATCCCACAGCCACACATGTGGGATCGCACAGATCTGTGCACAACGCACACACAAACACATCTTCATCACTACTACAAATGTGCATGAATGAAGAGCGTAGATATGTCTCAACTGATACAGAAATCAACTACTACTGAAATAATATAAGGTGTGGAAATAAAAAAAATAAAAGATATAGGAAAAACAACAGCAGTATGCACAAGACTTCTTACAATGGCTGTCACATCCAACCCAGACCCTCCAGCTGGCAATACCAGGACCAGAGTGGTACAAGAGGAATCTGTGTGTGTGTGTGGTCATTCATGGTGGGGAGGAGAGGTGACTTGTGGCCTACATGCTACAAATAATCTTTTCATCTAATACATTCTCACACACACACACACACACACACACACACACACACACACACACACACAAATGGGCCACAAAGCCCTTCCATTAATCTTGATTGATCTCTGAGCTTTGCAAGTCTTACAATACTCACACATTCTTAAGGAATCAGGGTTTTGTGATTAAGTCATTGCTGTGGATGTTGTAGGGAAGTGAATGAGCTTAATGAGTCTCATCTAGATACTGCCTGGCTTATAAAAAGAGATATTTTAGAGACCGTGACTTGTCTAAACCACAAAGACAGAGCTCTGGTTTGAAAAGTTCAGCTTGTGTCTGGGATATGATCTCCAGTACTTCAGTTCAACATGAGGAAGAGAGGAAGAGAGAGAGAGAGAGAGAGAGAGAGAGAGAGAGAGAGAAAAAGAAAAAAAGAAACACAATTTAGCTGAGAATTCATTCTCTGCCTGTGGGAGGAAGAACTAAACGTAACACGATCCCAATCTTAATAGCCCACACTGCAAAGTGTGCCAACTTACACAGCAGTAATAACTACAGTAAGTAGTAGACGGATAGCAACACAAACAGTATCAGGTCAACAGACATGCCAGTCTAACAAACCACACAGTAGGCAAATCCGCTCCTAAACCCCCCCATGCATTTCATCTTACAGACGGGAGACGATACTTCCTGTAAGGAAAGACTCAGGGGGAATTCAGGTCTGCGTTAATCCTCTCTGGCTGGCCCTCATCATGAGGGTGATTATCATGGACCATCTGAAAGGGCTGACAGAGCCCGAGGGATGGATGGCTTTAGATATACCATCTCAGGCCGCACGCACACATTCAAGGACATGCATCAACGTATACTGTATGTTGGCACACACACACGCACAAGGGTCAGACACACCAGACATGACAGTGCCGTCTATGGTGCTGTGAGGATCACATGACCGGCGGTAATTAAATTGTCTCTTTGTCCCTGTTTACATTGGGAGGTCGTCTGGCTCTGGTCCAGCAGGACTGGAATGAGTTCCTTGATATAAACCAAATCAACATCTGCAGCCGACAAACGCTGGTATACAGAGAAAGACTAAAGTCGACAAACCAAGAAGAGAAGCCTGATCCACAAAGCAGGACTGTCTGTGCTTAAATCTCATTTACTTATTGTGGAGGACGCAGCTGTGCCCCATGGGAACACACAGCGGAGAGAGGGCAGTGCCACCTGCTGCTGATGACTGGAACAAACAGCTGGACTACAGACGAACAGCTGTAGACGTAGCTGTGGGTGTGTCACGGAGGGCATTTATTGTTTGTTCACATGTGTGTTTGGCCTTTTTTGACTTTTAGTAGCAGAGAAGCACCGGTGTTACTTCTGACATTGACGACGGTTTTGTTCAGTTAAAAAGCCACGACAGTGACTCAGCATGGAGAAGACCAGCACCCTGAACTGAATATGTGAAGGTATAAAACAGAAAAAAGGTTGGGCGATTTAGTTATGAATAATAATATTTTCTCTTGTATCAATATATTTTACAATATAAAAACAAATGGAGAAACCTCATATAGTTAATGCTTATCAGAATCGACTGTGTGCAGCTGTTAAGCATTACAGACAACCTTGTATTTATTACAGTTGGCTTGGAATGACGATCATATGGTCACAATATGGTTTCCACTAGAAGTTGATCTACATAATGCCCACACCAGCTCTGAACACACCGACAACCTCCACCCCGAGCACCAGCAGTCCCGTGACTTAGCCTACGACACGGTGATTAGTGCGAGTTTGAGAGGAAAATCCAGGAAAGAATGAAAACCTGTGCAGCTTGAGGTCAACAGGAAATATGCAGAAACTTTGAATTGGATATACATTTTTGAGAAACTGGATGAAACGTGTCAGCAGCTCAGTAACAGTCAGTGGATGCTGACGCCCTCTGAAGCAGATATCCACCAGGAACATAAATATCGCTCAACAATAGCGAGGAACGCTGGATCTGCTGAACTTACACTTCCTACACTTCCTCCTCCATTCAATTAAGGCTCTTTATCTGACATGGAGAGATTCCTGTTGGAAAGCGGCTAAAGCTTTTTCTCACTTTGTTTTTTCCCCTCCTTGAGAAGGTGGCATGGTCCAACAAAAGGCTCATGTGGCTCTGGAGAGGAGGAGGGGGGGGGGGGGGGGGGGGTGGTCTCTCTGCTGTTCCACTTGAAGAAAGGGAGAGAGGCTTTTCCAGATTGAAAGAGAGGAATTCCTTTGTTCACTTTGATTCATTTTAAATCACACAGTATATTACAATCCACAGTCATTTACAGGTTTAGGAGGGACATAGCTGGTATCTACAGTGTGTTCATGGGATGCCAGATGTATGGCTGCTGATTTAGCTACATTTGCTCTATTTTACTCATTCATCTGGACAGAGATCTACAAAACTAATTTTAAAAAAAAGCAGAAAATAAGGCAATTATGGCCGTAAGAACGGTGTTTTGGGGCGTGTGCACCGTTCTGTTTGTAATCTTTTCCAACAGTTTGAGAAGTCTGAACTGCATCATTAGCAAGAAGCATGGACGGTATAATGTGACCTCGCTGAATTAAGAAACAATTGTTCTAAATATCAAGCAGATTTTAGTGCTTATCGAAATCAGATAAGCACACACAAGACGCTGGAATTACTCTACAGAAGCCACAACAAAGGGTCCGCTTCCCCCCCGAGCTCTTTCATATCACCATCTCTGGCAGAGACCTGGGTTTTTAAATGAGTTGTACTGTTTATTCTCATCCATCATTCATAATGAGAACCAGGAGTTATTACGTCCATTGGTTTCCAGTGACTTCCAGAGAGTCGAATCATGAAAAGAACCCAGATTAAACTGACGTGGACCTTGTCTAGAAAGGTGCTATTGATATTTAGTCAACACCTGTGAGGCGAAAGGCGACGACAGACAGAACAAGCCCAACATCTGCTGGGCGGTGAACTCTGTTTGCCCCGGTGAAAGGTGAAAGGAAGTCACCGGGGTTGTTGCGTGGACTCGCTTCTGCAACAGTGAGCTCCAGCCAGCGTAACTCCCACATCACACGAACACTAAACCACCGTGTGTGATGTGCTGGCTCCTGCCGGGCCTTATCTCAATGCTACTGAAGAAGGCGGAGTCTGAAGTCAGAGCCACAGATCTGCTGAAACAGTGCTTTGTGTCTGGAACAGATTCAATGAGAGCTATGACATCAGTGTCTGGACCGGGGTTTCCCGTCTTGCCAAATGTGCCAATCAAGTGGAAACAAACTGAAAAGTAGTTTCTCAGATTCATTACTTTTGCAACAACGGATTAAGAAACCGCAGTCGTCGGTCCCCCGGGCAGGACGTGTTGGGAGGCTGACTGTTCATTACAACATGAGCTTTATGCAAAACAAGTTTGACTACGGTGTAAATTTGCACTGGAGGCAAAAACACAAGCCTGGGAGATGATCTGTGAAGTTCAGCTTTACTGCTACATTAACATTATCGGCCCCATGTCAAATCTGAGCTTGGCGTAAAATATAAACGTGCTTTTGTTGAGCCCTTTATTAATAAGCATTGAACGTGCGACCCAAAACCAGCAGCTGTGTGTGCACTTTAAAACCGTTTCCCAGTATCCACCCAACTAATATATACATCTCTTCACCTTCAACCATCTGTTTTATTAGGTGAGGTGGATGTGACTCCGCAGGAAGAGCAGCTCATCCACTAAACGCAGGATTGGCGAATCGATTGCCGGCTTCTACGGTCAACATGTCAAAGTGTCAGACACTGAACCCCAAATTGCTCCTGACGGTTACATGTCAGTGTCTTGCATGGCACTGTGTTCTCCCACACCACATCCATTGACACATTATCATATGATGTCCTTCTAGGGAGCAGAGTTCAGCTATGAAACAGGCGTGATGTTTGTGGGAGATTAACAAGTGTTTATTGAGCTGGTTGTGGATAGCCATTGTTGTTAAATGCAACATATTGTAAGATGGAGCTGGTGTTTATAAGGCCTTTTTACAACTGGAATTAAATCTAGTTAGATTTAGCTAAACATAAAGATCTCTGCTAAACTTAGGGATCAGTAGGACAGGAGATATTTGAGCTGACGATAGTAACATGTACTAGTCAGCACAGAAAGGATCAAACTTTCTCATTTCATAATCCTTTCATGTCCTTTCACAGGAAAACCTCCAACATCTGCAATAACTCAGATCGTCTCTTGGGATAAAAGATTTCAGAAATAATAGGATGAAGGATTTCTGATGCATGTTATTGCAAATGACGTCGCTGATATCAGAAATATACTGACCAAAGAAGAGGCAACACATCACTGCACAAACGGGCTTCTAGACTGCTGCGGTGAACCGTAATGTATATTTGAGCGAAGAGCTCAATGTAACACACAAACACGTGAATACACACACGACAGGCCTTTAAGCAGATGGTCAGTGTGCATGTGCACTCTTGGCACAGCCATTACACAATAGTTATCACTATACAGCAAAAGTGTTACTTCAAGTGAGAGAAGTCAGATATTTGAAAGTGTTAAATTCTTCTGAAGCAGAGAGGACTTGAGTTTGAGGGTAGAACCTTCTGTACCGACTCCTTTCCAAAGAGAGCACCATTTTAGAAATCCACCACTTAGACATCCTATTGTCCGTGGAAAGTTTGGGGAGATAAAATATACAAGAGCTCAAAATTTCTTCCCCAAATAAACAAGATCAGGATGTTTCACCTGGATCCAATATTTGCCAAGAGCAACACTGCTCTTGGTTATCGTGCCATTCCTCCATTCGTCTCATATTTCAAATGTTGTTGAGCATCATTGATTGACAAGTGGCAGCCGACAAGAGTCTGTGATTGACGCTCCAGACACCACATGAGGAATCCTTGTGCTCTGAGGGTTATGAAGCTGTTCGCATAATAAGTTCAGAAGATGTCTCCCCATTCTGGGGCTAAAAAGCTCTTTCAAAGGCTGGAGGAAGGAGGTGGTCACATCTGGCCTTCACCTGTACATGAGCCCAGCTCGAGCTGATTTGCAACCATGTGGCCTCATCAGTCTCTGCTCTCATGTGGTTAAACAGTTTCCGTCGTCTGCGGGTGTGTTTTGTAAAGTTAACATTTAAATTTAGATGACTCTTTTAGCTGACAAATCCCGAATAATAGTAAAAGTGAATGATTTCTGCTGATTCTGATTCAGGATTCAAGAGATACTCGTCGACCCGGGACTTGTACCCGTAACAGATGGCGTTGGTGACTTCTGGGGCGGTGCCCGGCCGGCCCGGGCTCCAACATGAACTACACATAATTGTCCCCTTCCTCTTTCTCTTTCCATCTGCTCTCCATCCTCCCGGATGTAATCTGTTCTCTAATCTTGATGCCCGAACACACCAAGAGCCACAAAAACAAAAACAAAAGCTTGGAAACCTCAACACAAGTACCCACACACACGAACAAGATGCTTTGCCAACTAACTCATCTGTGATGCCACTGATTTTAGTAGCTCAAACATAGGTTGTGCTAGCTAGCATGCAACCCCTTCATATAGGATTCACAGTCCTCTGCCAGCTGCTGCTGTACAGCTGGAACATATACTGACAGGAACATCTGCCTGCCAGGAGCAGTCCCATACAGAGGAAAAAAGCCCCGACTGTAACACCACTGTACATCGCTGTCACCTCAGTAACATATCAATCTCCAGACATGCAGGTAGAGGAGACAGAGAGAGTCCAGACAGTCATTAGCACATATTGTCCTTATAGAGACTCCTGACTGGTTCGGAGGACACTGTGCTGTGAAAAACAACTGATTGGAGCATCAAAGCATCAGACCATCAGAACTAAAGGAAGATTGTTGAAAACATGCCGGGTAGCCTGTAGCCAAGCTTATCTCTCCTCTCATCACAATGCAGATGACACGCTGCACTTACCATTCTGCAGATGACCAAGACAACCACACACACACACACACACACACACGACCCAGTAGAGGACAGCGACCGCCCGTGAGCTGCTCCTGGTCTGTACGGACCAACCAGCTGCAGCAGAGCTACACAGTGTTACAGGCGGACATTAATAACGTAATGCTGCACACTGGCTGCTGCTCTGCTGCAGCAGGAGTGGAAGAAAAGAGGGAGAGGATTGCTCGAGTGTGAGGGTCAGACAGAAGGAGGAAGGAAACGCCGTGTGTGGTTCCGGCTAACTGACGGACCTCAGGTGGGAGCTGCAGTGTCAACAAACTCTAACAATCCTAATGTTAAAGTATCAAAACAGCATCATCAGCATTTAATCCTGATGTTTGGGGTCCTAGAGACCCCCCAGGCCTCTGTAACAGCTCAAAAAACATACTCAACATCGTTTCATTGGATGAAATGATGCATTAGCTCCATTTGACTCCAAATATAAAACATTGTACGGTTCAGAAACAAAAACGCTAAGTATGTTTAGCCAAGGAACTTGGCTTTGTGATTGGTGCATGACAATAAACACAGCGTAATAGCAAAATAGATCATAAAAAATATAAAAAATGTAAGATAGAATATGATAAACAAACAAACAAAATAAGAGTATAATAAGTCCGTTCACATGCTCTATACCTGTGATTGACTTGTTGTTTATTCATCTCAGAAACACAGAACACATTTTTATGGTTAATTAAAAGCCAAATCAAATAATAAACTTTATCGGTTACTGCGATGGGATCACTACAACCAACTTTTGCAACAAGCTCCACGACACGCATTAAAAGCTGCAGAGAGGGCTGTCCACTCTAGTTTGTTTAGGTAACTGCTGTCCTGGCTAGAGTGTTTGGGTACATTCAGTGGGGCATGATAATATTTATTTAGGCTGTGCATAGCCGGCTCCCTCACACATGAACTGAACAGTATACTGTAGCGGAGAGTGTTTCAGCGTCAAAGTTAGCACTTCTCTCCCTTTAAGCTTAAACTTGTCACCAGACTTGTAAGTGAAACAGTGACGAAATTATGAATAGCACAGGGTGTGCATCAGCAGAACTCACACCTCAAGTCAACGAGGTGTCAAAAGGAAGCGGCACAGAGTCAGCGACACATCTGGCCTCCTGCAGTGTCTCACACAGCGTGACTTACCCCACAGGTACAGTTATGTACCGAGAGTTCCATATTGGGATTTTTGCAGATGTGAAAACGCTTGAGCAATAAACGTCAGACAGTAGCTCTGCTGATATTATGAGCTACTTGAAGGCCAACGCCAAGTCAATAACTGTCATGGAATCTCAAAGCTGCCCTCATTCTTAAAAGTGGGTCATTGCACCATCAGAGAGGACCTGTGTAGAGGATTTAATGTAGTACAATGTAGGAAATACCTCAAAAAGGATGGATAAGTGGAGTGTACACATAAAGCTCAGACTATTAAATGTGATGTATTTCTTCTTATAATCAGAGAGAAGAAAGTGTATTGAGATTGTCTGTTAATGCAGCATTAAATCCAGTATTATTCACTTCTGTGTGCAGTTTTCTCTGATTCTGGCAAGGCTGCAGAGTACGAAGATGAAGTGAGTTTTGAACTGGGCGATAACCAAGTTTTCACCTGGCAGAGACACAACGTTAAGTAGCACAGAAGTCCTCCAGGAGAGATATTTCCGACTCATCTGGGACCGTAAGAGGCCTCTTTGAGGAAGCTGCAGTCAGAAACACTGTGCGAGTCGAGCTGAACGGAGAGACGAGCTCCACTGTCTAACAGCCGTGGGGTCTTCAATGGCCGCTGGGTAACAGCAGGGACTGAGCCACCATGTCACAACGCAACAGTGATGTGGAGAGAAGGATGTGGGTGAAGGGCAAGTTCGGAAGAATTAACAACCGTGACAGGATGATAGCGAGGGGGGGGGGAGCTTTGAGCAACGCAGAGACTGATGCACAGAGAAGCCAGAGATCAAATGACATCTCACAACTATCCACAAGGGTTGTTGCTTCTTTTTCCTTTGGCTCTGTTCACTCTATCCTTTGCAGGCATGACCCCAAAAAGGACAGAAATGATCAGCCTGCCTATGAAATTCACATTCCTGCATTTCATTCAAGTTAAATATGGCTATAAAAATAGATTACATGTACTTTACAACATGTTGCAGAAGCTCTCCATGTGGCACTAAAAGTCATTCCACCAGATGTTCAGAGTATAATCCCCAAACACAAAATGTAGATTTTTTTTTACACAAAGTGACCAAAGCACACATTTAGGAATGATCAGACTGGATTGCATTGTAAATACAAACACAAAGTCATTGTAAATATAAAGTCACAACCTAAACTATCCTATGGAAAACAAACACACAGATAATGATGTCAAAGATGGAGTCAAACTGACACTCGTGCACTATTTAACCCCTCGCATGTGTAGATTTTAGAGGATGGTAATCTGTGTGGGTCATGATGTGCAGACATTAATCTGTCAGGGACTATATTGGGACCATGCAGGCCATCTGTAACTGAGGAATAAGCGTCCTGTGTTGACATTGGTTTAAATTAGTGTGTGACAGTGGGGCTCTTGAGTTAAGCTGTAAACTCCAGATGTGTTTGACTGTGTGTGTTTAAGTTCACCAACGCTTCTGTGTGTGTGTGTGTGTGTGTGTGTGTGTGTTATCTATTCTGTGTGAGGGGACAGATTGCTGACAAAGCGGACATCGTCTAGCCAGCAGCTGTGCTAATAACAATAATCCAGTCAGCCACATCTGTAATGTAAAGAAAACCACTGTTTCAGAGGAGAAATACATTAAATGCCATCTAACCACTAATGCCACATGTGGCCAGTTAAGTTATAAAAATGGAAGAAATGGACATTTGCCAGATATATTTGGTAAAAGTTTATAAGATAAATGTTCACGGCAATGTGAAAAATTAAATAACTGCACATAATGGAATAAAAATGAAATAAAACCTAAAACTATTTTGATCATAACCGAACAACTTGTTCGATATAATAAAAAAAATACAAATAAATAATAAGTTATTATATTTACTGGTTTCTACATGTCAATTGCGAACTCTGCATCAGTTTACAAAAGAAATAAGGAGATTGAAGAAGAACTCCATTGCCAATATCTTCCACCTCATGAATTAAAAATACATAATGTAGTTGGGATGCTGAGGACACAATCCGGTGGGTAGAGTACTCTCCTCTGAGTGATTCATATAAAAGCTTAAAGCAGGGAGCTAATGTAGGCAGCAGGACACAGCGGTTGGCACTCCTACCTCACAGAGCATCAGCATGAGTGGAAGTGTACGTGAATAGAAATGTGAAAAATGCATAATTTCAGGGAGGGACTTTTCCTTCTTGTTCCCTTCCACAAGTTGGGAGCGAGGAATCTGATTGCTGACCTTAGTCTGAATTCTCAGGCTAGCTCTATTAATAGCCCAGACACCAGCAGCCGGAGCTCGCTCACCAGGCCCTGCTGGAGTCTGGCTCTAGATGGACCAGACAGTTGATCAGAAAGAAAAACATGGCGCCCGAATCGCCTTCTAAACTCATCCAAGTTAAGTTAATTAAGTTTTTTTTTAAAATGATAGTGCAAAGACCTTGAATTTCAGTCAACATCTGTCTTGCCATTTTCTAAAAATATCAACATCTGTTACTGCACTGACCGGAGCAGAATGGCGAAACATAAAAAAGCCTTCAACATCTCCCTCCAATGCTAATCCTGCAGAGAAGGGGGCAACCCTTCTGGCACGACTCCCAGGGAAAGTGTGCTCCTCCAGAGAGGGGGGAACATTTGTCTCAGAAAGGTATTTAGAGAATATTTGGTGTGCTGCAGCTCCAACACTAACAAGAGCTGGTGGTAAATCAGCTGAAAAGTTGCCTAAATCCAGCAAAAAGATGAATAAAGTCTGAGATGTGACACGCCAGACTTCTGTCATGCTATAAACCGGCTCTCTCTGTTTTATAGTGACAGAGATTTACAGCTCAAGCTTCGTCATGCCACACAGGGATTCCTACTTGAGGTTTGCTTTCTCTAAAGCCCGGGGGGGGGGGGGAATTGGTATACATTGTCTGGTGATGTTATGCAATGCCAAGATATCTTTGTTTTTTCATGCTGTAGTTTTTCCAGTGAAAACAATGTCGTAACCAAAGTGGCTGAGTGGATAAGTGTCCTTTTAGATAAACATGGTCTCAGAGCTGCATCTTACTGTCGAAACAAAGTTTCTCCCCGTTGTCTTGGGACCACAAACGACACCACTTCCAGTGCTGCCTAACTTCAAAAGATGCCCGAAACACAGTCGCTTGTCTACTTTAGTCACCATGACATGCGACACCACTGAGAGACATTTTAACTGCCTTAAATGACAAGTTGCTCTGTGACAAGGTCTCATTTGAACACCAACTTTCAGATGTTCTCAGTGTGTTTTTGTAATTTTATACAATACATCATCAAAGGTCGTCTCCACAAACACATCCTCCTCCTTCAGGGGGGCTCCTAAATATGTCACGTTCCTCACAATCATAAATATCACAAACAGGCGGCGCGAGAGGGCAGCTGGCCGTCTACTGTGTTGGTTAACAGGTGGACTCTTCTGGTCCCTCCAGGTCTCTTCTGTGGTGGGAGACCACTGGTACAGGAGCCTGAGGGGAACTTTCAAACTCTATCAATTTGAATCTGGCCACTCATTGGTATAAATTAAGAAATAAAAGAAGCTGACCCTGCATCAGGAAAGCAGGGATGGGACCTCCAGCAGTTCAAATATTGTTCACACTCTATTCAAGAGCCAATCAGAAGCTTCCTTTCATCCCAGTTTCTCTCAGCTTCTCTGCCTTCTCTGTTTCTTACACACGGTACATAGACTGCGGTGTGCTATGATAACAACACCTCTATCACGTACTTTAAAATCCAATTTAGCATTTGTTTTCAAAGTTGCCATCTGCAGGAAGGAACCAGTGACAATGATACAAAGATCAGAGCCACAACACAACAGCCTTTCTTTAAGAATCGGCACTAATTTATAGACGTTGACAATGACTTCGAATAACTTGACAACTTGACAAACCTCAAGTCCAGCAGGTGTACATGCCGAGTGGCTAACAGTGTGTGAGTTTGGGAGCTTGTCTGTGGCTGGAGATACAGTTTAAACATTACGTTGGACCTTAGAGGTCTCTGGATTTTATGGGAAATTGATTTGATTCATTTCGATGGAAGTAAAGCGGTCACCCTCACCTACACACGTAATCGCTAATTAAATGTTTTGGGCTCTCCGGCATTCAGTGTCTCCTCAGTTTCTGTTACAGCACTGACTTAAAAATATCCTCAGAGTAGAGACATTATAAAGTGGTCCATCTGCTGTAAAAACCTTGTTTCCTGTGTCTTTGTTTTATTAAAAACTGTAAAGACAAATACTAAGACTGCTCAGAGAAAGGTCTGAATTAACACCGCCGGTGTGTATCGCCCTATAAAGAGCTGCCCATGGCAACCTGTTAATCTGCTAAAACTACCGGATGTTTTTCCTTCTTTCCTTTCAATGACCTGGAGTCTAAAAAAAGAGGCTGGAAGAGGTTTTACAACTGTGAAAATAAGGAAGTCATTAGATCCTTATGGCGCTTAAATACCAAGGCCAGCTACATAAAGCAGTCAGTAATGGGCATCCATACTCTGTGTCCTCTTAACCTTTGAAGATCTCACACTCTCACACACACACACGCACACGATAAGATAGACATATGTAATTAAAACTACCTCACACAGAGCAGCAGTGAATGTGGTTTCCTGCCAGTCAGAGGTTTTTGAACACTCAAGCAATTTTGGTTAAATCTCCAGTAATAATGTTTACTGTGAGTTCCACTAAAATAGGAAATATAAACAGAGGAAGAGGTATGAGGGATGTACGAAGTATTTGTGATTGGAATCAGTTGATACCTTGATCAATCTTTTTAAGATGCTGTAGTAAAGAAAGTTGAGTATTTGTCTTGTAGTGGATTGAAGTGTTTTTAGCCTTAATGACATTTCCAGTGGACCCGCTTCAGACGAGCAGTAATTAAGGATGTCAATAGTTCCCTAAAGGGTCTTAATAACAGATACAAAGACGCAGCAGTGATCATGAGCGGCTCGTGAATATTACTCTTTGAACTGACCGACTGTCATAGAGATAAAGTGACAACAAATATCTTTGAGCATTGTGACTTTCACCATCGGTGACTGTGGAATACCTCACATTCATACTGCATGAGTTATGAAGATCTAAAGCGGGATCTGTTCCTAGAAATGATACTTCTCACTGTGTGCTTTTGGTTCAGAAACGTGGAAAGAGAGACGGGCATGAAGCTGGACGGTGGTGGGGTTTGAGCTTCTGGACGGTAGGAAGGTCAACATGCCACAGGTATGCGAGTGTGCTTATGTGGAAGTTAAAGAGAGAAAAGCCTGAAAGCCAGAGGGAGTTATGCCTGTAAGTGAGACGGACTATTTCAGACCGGGAGCTCCTTTGTACACCGGAAGACAAAAATAATATGTTTGGAAAGAAGGGAGCACATGAAAGGGGAAAGAGGTGAAGGAGGGAAAAAGGGGGGAGCAGACTCTCAGGATGGAGGGAGGCAGGAGCCACGAGTCTTCTCTTTGATCCTTCAATAAGATGCACATGTTGTGGTGTTCTCCCAGCTCGTATGAGCCCCAATTCTCACAGAACATTCAGACACTTCCGTCCAAAATCCCAACACGAGCAACAGGGAAGAATTTGATCGTTGACATTTCACATTTCAAAGAATTTACCGCGAGAGTCAGACTTACACACCTTAAGATCAAGGTTGTAATGTCATGAAACCAATCAAAACCCAGACAAGTACCCAAACATGTCACGAGATGATGAAAACATATGATGATCCTCATCAATACCGGCCACATACCGTAGTAGTAGCAGTAGTTTGTTCCAAAATACTCCTTTTAAAATGGGACTATCAAAAATAGCTTGTATTTCTCTCCAACGTCAGTTTCAAAAGAAGAAAAATTCTCAACAGAAAAGCCTAAAGCGGTCAGATTTCAAACACAATTGTGCAGATCTTTTAAAAGAAAACCGACTGACGTGCCAAGAAAGACGAAAGAGATTTTAGACGCATGTAGTAACATCAGTATGCGGAAGAGGGAGCAGATCAGATCTCAACTGATATTATATGCTCCTTATATTTCTACAAAAAGGCAGAATTCACAGATAAATCACCTACAATGCTGCCGAGTCATCTGCAGCTCAACTGGATATGAAGTCCTAAATCTGTTTCAAACGAGTCGTCACATTTGACTTAGGAAACTCCAGAAAATATTTAAATGTCACCGCTCAAAGAGTAGTAAATATTTACAGAGTGGTGGCGTGCCGGCGCTGTGGTTATTTCAGCGTTTGGTTTAAGTCACACACACACACACACACACACACACACAAAAAGGTCAGAGGAAAAAAAATTCACACACCGAGCTGATGGTCAATAAAAGCGCACCTGGTCTCTGGTCTCTGTTACATTTCTCACACTGTTCGCCCACACTGGGCGAGCAGCTACTCTGCCTGTTTGTTTGTGAAGCGCCTATCTATCCGTCGCAGGTTGGGGGTCTCCTGCTTATGTTGGCCGTACGGTCCGGAGGTCTGTGATGTTGAGGCAACACCACTGGTTGAGTTGCACACATTGATTTCTTCTTTCTACCTCTTCTCACTGAATCCTAAAATCACAGCAACATTCTCTAAATATTGTGGCTTTTGTGTTAAGTGTGTTGAACTCCCAGCCTCCTCTCTCCTCCATCCATCATTGTGTCACAGCATGCTATCACAAACCGTGCTTTACTTACACCCAAGTGCTTAAACCCGATACCGCCATCTGTATCTGTTTTTTTTGTGTGTGTGTGTGTGTGTGTGTGTGTGTGTGTGTGTGTGTGTGTGTGTGTGTGTGTGTGTGTTCCTGCTGGTTGTGTTGATGCCGTGGATAGAGGAATATAGTAAGTGTCTTCACTGCCGTTTGGTCTTCCCTTTTCCTTTTCCTCCACATTATCTCCGACTGTACCAAATCCACGCATTTTAAAATCTAAAGCCCAGATGCTGAAGATAAGGGGCTCATTTCCACTGACAAACCGAATCAAGATAGAGGATTCATGTCCTTGACTACATCCCCCTTGTCCTCGAAGAGATCTGCACCATCTCTGCTGCTCTTCCTTTTGGCTTGCCGGGCATTTCCCCTCCCTGTCCTGCAGCATGGTGGGAGCGTCTGGAAGGGTTTTCTTAAGGGGAGTGGAGGGCGCTGCAGCTGAGGAGCACGCTGGCTCTGGACACGCACTACTGTCATCTTTATGCATTAGCACGCGCACACACACACACACGCAAGAATGTTAATTATCACACACATACTTCAGCACTCATGGCTGCCATCAGAAGATGTCTAACTCATCTAATATTTAAATCTTAAGCACTAAAAATAACCAAAAGGCTGATGGGTTAGCCGTTGGCATGATGTGGAATAATTAAATTAGTTGGCATTTAAAAAAAACATAAATGATGGTCTAAATGTGACCTGCAAAACATTATCCACCTAAAGATATATTCCTACACCTCATTAAAAATCATTCACAATCATTTTTCGGGGTACTTTATCACTCCCGTGGTATAAGATAACATCATGTCAGATGCTTTCCCATATGACCATTGGTAAGTAGCTGTTCTGATACTGATATTTTAACGACTGTCCTAATTTGCTATCTGCCTGATGTGCAGCTCTGTCTTCACAGTGCCTGCAGTTAGAGTAAACTCTCTGACTTTGCTCCCAGAAGCACAAAGATAAGATCACAGCCGCTTGGCTCTCGGCCCAGACTATTGTCCATCCTAACGGACATCAGGCTGGTTGATACACCGCCTGAGCTGTGTGGCACGTCACCGCAGCACACGACTTATGGAAAGTCCATAAGATATCCTGAAGTTCAGAGTTTAGACATTACCTACAGTTCCTAAAATGTCTTTCAACAACACTTAGAGCAAGTCAATATCTGCTTC